GGAGGCCGACCGGGCGTGGGGTGGGCGGAGGCCGGCGGGGCCGGGGAGGGGGCGCGCGCGTGGGCCTTCCCGGATCGCGGTGGCCGTGCTAGAGAGGGCCGCCCGCTCCCGCCCCACGATGAGATCGTCACTGACTTGGCCCATTCTAAGCACCTTTGGTATTGTGAGAAATTGAAAATGTAAAGAAGCAAGACAATTTAAAACCCTTCAGAAATCCCCCTCACTGTAGTAACATTTGCGGTAGTAACCAGACATCTCAATACACACACGTAAACGGGGTCATGCTGCTGGACCTACTTTCCCTGTTCAAGGTTATTTTATTATTATGTCATGTTATTAAGTAAGATTATGTCATTGTTTTAAATGGCAGCATAAGTATTCCATTGTAGGGAAGTGCCACACCCAGCCCGCTCCCCGGGGTCGGAGAGTTGAGTTGTTAAGGGATGTTCTCCACGACAAACAGCAAACGAATAGTTCTTGCCTTGGCCGAGACTTACTCGTGCACGTCCCCCAGTGCCCTATTGTACGTACTTCACACCTTTTTGGAGGCTCTGGAGATGCTTGTCTAGGGCCCTCCCTGTTTTAATTAGCCCAGTTCTTGTGATTACCCAGGGTAAAAAGCCACATTCTTACTTAATTTTTTAAAAGTCAGCATAAAGTGCATACTCTGAAGTCCTTGTAAGATGGTTGTATCGGGACAGCAATCTTTCTACAATTTTATTTCTTTATCTTTTTTTGTTCTTCAATTGTTTATGTAACAGAGTAAGCAGGAAATTCACAGGAGGTCTGCTCGGCTCAGAAACACTAAATACAAATCGGCTCCAGCTGCTGAAAAGAAAGTTTCCACTAAAGGAAAAGGGAGAAGACATATTTTTAAATTAAAAAATGTAAGATGATTGTGGACAGTGTCTTTTACAGTAATGGCATCGTGTGTGTAGTGTGTCCTGTCAGTGCCTTCATTTCTCATCTGAACTTTGCTCTTCCGAGCCTTTCTGCAGTATTCTGGGGAGTGGTCCGCACTTCTTAAAAGGAAGTGAGCTCTGTTGCAGGAGGCTTACTGTTTATAGTTAATAATATCCTTTTTCTCTTCTTTTAGCTTTTAATTTTTTCCACTGGGAAATATAAAATATGAGTGTAAAAGAAACGTAAACCTTGAATGCATTTGATTGGGCCCTCCATGCAAGGAGGAGTTGGGATTATGGTTCTTGATATGGTCAGATATATTAGGGGGAAAAATTTTTTTTTATTCTTTAAAGATCTAAGTAAATAATACTGGAACTCATTCATTTCCATATTTGTTTGTTATTACAGCCCCATAAAAAGTATCTTACTGATTTATGGTGATCAATTTGATGAATGTGAATCAAAAATTTTGCTAAGCCTTTCTTCTGCTGCTGTAAGAAACTAGATGGTTGAAAGACTTATGCTGGGGGTAGTTGAAAGAACCTTTTGTTGCAGTAAATTCTCAGTATTTTTGTAAACACAAGGCAAAAATGGTCATCCACAATGGACAGTGCGTTGTAGACTACTTTTTTAAACCTCAGTATGGTGTTCTTTCCTTTTAGAACAGGAATGCTTCCCTTACCAGTGAAGGCATTTCTGAAATTGGGCGTATTCATTTGTGAAACACAGAGTGGCCCTGTATTAAATTCTTGTGCCGCTTGCAGATCCTTACTCAGAATACTTGACTAATTGATTTAAGACTTATAATTTAGTTTTCTTAAAATGAGGCACCCGTTGACAAAGCACGTTAAGTAAATGTGCATGTGATTATAGTTTTATCACTTACACGTTTTCCTCTTCTGTGTGGTAGAATATGCTCTGCAATTATTTCAGTATCTATTTCTCTAGCAACCCCTCTCTTCAAGGATGGTACCAAGACACACTTGGGGAGGCCTGGTTTTTGTGTTGTGGCATATAAGCGTGTTCTACGGCTTAAGAAGGGGATGCAGTAATGGCTGGGTGGTGGCAAATGACTAAGCACTCCAAGGAAGTTTCTGGAACCTTAGTTCAGCCTTGCTAGAAAATTACTTCTGATGACAAGTATCTCAGCTAGTTGCATAGTTAAGTTGAGATGGAAAATGTCTTCAAGGAGACACTTTTTCACATTGTGTTCACCTACACATATTTTTTTTTTTTTAAAGATTTTATTTATTTATTTGACAGAGAAAGACACAGCGAGAGAGGGAACACAAGCAGGGGGAGTGGGAGCGGGAGAAGCAGGCCTCCTGCCGAGCAGGGAGCCCGATGTGGGGCTCGATCCCAGAACCCTGGGATCATGACCTGAGCCGAAGGCAGACACTTAACGTCTGAGCCACCCAGGCGCCCCACCTACACATTTTTTTTATTACTTCCTTTTTTTGTCGTGCCCAGGCCTTCAGAGCCAGGATATTGTTTATAACCAGAATGTTAATATGTAATAAAGCTTCGAGAGCAGTTGAGGTAGATCTCAGCAGCTTGTGCTTTAGTTCTCAGCAATTTTTAAGCTGATGGTAGCAGAAATAGCCACAGAAATATTCAGACTGTGCTTTGGCACAACATTCAGAAAATCATTTATCTTTTTATTGCACTTCTGGTCAACCAGCAACAGATTTAGTATTTCTTAAGTTACAGAACTCTAGTAGATGACTGGGAAAATGCCTGTCTATGCTACACACACATACACACTAGGAATGTGCTAATATTTTTACTTTTGTTTTTTTCTCCCCCTAGCCCATCAAAGCTCCTGAGTCCGTTTCCACTATAATCACTGCAGAATCAATCTTCTACAAGGTAAGCATCTGTAGGGTGCTTTGGGAAGGTTTGGGCCTGTCATAAGATACGCTGCCAAATGTTGGGTTAGTCCAAAGGCCTCTGCCCCTCTATATAATGTGTGATTGCTTTTTGTTCTTCTCTAAGCTAGTTTTTCCCGTAGGTGGCTGCTATAAAACATTTCATCCAGAGCTGAGGTAGGAGGGGTAGTTGCTTATTGAAACATGGTATTTTGGGGGCGCCCGTGTGGCTCATTCGTTAAGCGTCTGCCTTCGGCTCAGGTCACGATCCCAGGGTCCTGGGATTGAGCCCCACCTTGGGCTCCCTGCTCTGCGGGGAACCTGCTTCTCCCTCTCCTGCTCCCCCTGCTTGTGTTCCCTCTCTCACTGTGTCTCTCTCTGTCAAATAAATAAATAAAATCTTAAAAAAAAAAAAAAAAAGAAACATGGTATTTTTAAGTATTTGAAGTATCTTAAAATGCTAAAGTATAGTGTGGCGTCCTGAAAGGGTGAGCCACTCTAGTCACTCTGCTGGTCACTGTGGGAGGAGCACAGAGTGGGGACTTGGATGAGTAGAGGGAGTATAGACCTGATACCTAGTGGGTAGAGGAGGCACAGAGATTCTAAAATGCCTTTAAGCAGAAGTGAGAGGAATAAGGGCAGTGGTGGGGATTAACATCTACTAGAAGTAGATGGTGAGAGAGTGTCCAAAATGTTTTGATAAAAGAGTGAGGAAGTCAGTTTTCCTAGGGCCAAAGCCCACAGACACCTGCTTCTCCGGTGGGAGACATGACATACCGTTATTTTTGAACCAGAAGCCTTAGGAAAGCAGTTGCAACACAGAAACAGCCTCCAGAGCCTGGCGGGCCTGGCACAGGCAGCAGCCGTTACCTGCTGTTGATGATGTCTTGGAGGCTGAACTATCTTTTGGGGGGCAATGGCACGAGTTAGTGCTTCATACCTGACCCAAGTGGACCAAACACTGAAAAACTCAAGTATGATACTCTGTGTGTACCTTTTTTGTCGTTGTTAGCCCAGAATCTGTGTAGTCTAAAACAGCCTCTACACAGGCAAACACCGTTCCTGTATTTCCAGCATTTCACGCATTGTTAATAATAAATAAAGTAGCTAAATTTAGTATGCGCTTGCTGTGCATCAGGCCCTGAGGTGAGCACGTCACAGGCTTTACTTCACTCAGTCCACTCCATGAAGTGCTACTGTTATCCCCGTTTTATGGATGAGGACAGTGAAGCACAGCGAACTGCATGATCTCGTCAGAGATCCTATAGCCAACAAGTCATGGAGCGAGGCAGTGTGATGGCGGAGCTCAGCTCCTGGCCCCACCGGCAAATGACTGTGTGACTGGGCCGAGACCAAGCTCTCTGGTATTTCCTCAACTAGAAAATAGGGATTGTAAATAGCAGCCACCTCAGTGGTTCAAGCGAGCTCATGTCTGTTAAGCACTCAGCAGAGTAAGCACTCAATGAATAGTAGAAATTGGCATCATCGTGTTTTCAGATGTGTGTATCACTCTCACAGCGGAACTCGCAGTTTACAGATTAAGTCCGGAAGCAACTGGCTGGGAGGCACCTGGTTGGCTCAGTCAGTAGGGCATGCACCTCTTGACATCGGCGTTGTGAGTTCAAGCCCATGTTGGGCATAGAGATTGCTTAAATAAATAAACTTAAAAAAAAAAAAAGCAACTGGTTTGGCTAAGGATTTAGTGTACTAATGATTTCCAGGCATGTCTCAACCAAAAGGCGAAAGGCCTTTGAACAGGTGTGGGACCTCTTATTACAAGTTATTACATTTTTTTTTTTAAGATTTTATTTATTGGGGCGCCTGGGTGGCTCAGCCGTTAAGCATCTGCCTTCGGCTCAGGTCATGGTCCCGGGGTCCTGGGATGGAGCCCTGCATCGGGCTCCCTGCTCGGCGTGGAGCCTGCTTCTCCCTCTCCCACTCCCCCTGCTTGTGTTCTCTCTCGCTGTGTCTCTTTCTGTCAAATAGATAAAATCTTTAAAAAAGAAAGATTTTATTTGACAGAGAGAGCACAAGCAGAGGGACAGAGAGGGAGAAGCAGGCTCCCCGCTGAGCGAGGAGCCCGATGTGGGACTCGATCCCAGGACCCTGGGATCATGACCTGGGCCAAAGGCAGCCGCTTAACAGACTGAGCCACCCAGGCGTCCCAGATTTTATTTCTTTATTTGAGAGAGAGAGAGCGTGTGCGTGCACATGCACACAGTGGGGAGCCCAATGCAGGGCTCTATCCCAAGACCCCAAGATCACTACCTGAGCCAAAGTCAGACGCTTAACTGCTTAACAGACTGAGCCACCCAGTCACCCCACAAATACCGTATTTCTTATTGCTGTCTGCCACCCCTGTTTGTTAGACAATAAGGACAAAGTGCAACAAAATATTCAGGTACGCTGCCGATACCCAGGATTGCAGAGGCTGCCCCTGCACGCAGCACCGGAGCGGGAGGACTTAAGAGGTCATTGCCGTCTGCTGAACTAGAGCCCAGATCAGGCATGCGAGAGGGAGCTGAGTGGGAGCCACTGGGTCTGATGGCCAGGAGTGTGGGCACCCAAGACCCCAAAGGGTTGAATGGCCTCCCTGTGGCAGAAGAGTCCCATGAACAGCTCTGCTTACTCCTAATCCGGTGTTCTTCAGTATATTGAGTTGACCCTTCTTTCTTTTCTGCCAGCAGCCCTGAAACCTCCCTGCAAATGAAGGAACTCCTTAGATTAAGTGCCTTAGTCATGGTTAGCGCTTTCTGTATATACATGCACAACACAACACGTGCTAATAATCACTTAAACACGTGCCAGGTACTGCTCGCCGTTGGAATCAGGGGGAGGGGCAGAGGGAGAGAGAATCTCAAGTGGACTCGCCACTGAGTGCAGAGCCCGACGTGGGGCTCGATCTCACAACCATGATCACGATCATGATCTGAGCGGAAAGAAGAGTCCAGTGCTCAACCAGCTGAGCCACCCAGGTGCCCCTGGAATCTTTCAGTAAGACATTGTCTTTGCCTTGCAGTTCTGTTTTCACACTATTATATATTTTGAGTTAATATTCATTTAGCATATATTTGAGTGTCTATGATAAGCAAAGCCCTGTTCTTTGTACAAAAAAATGAATTAATCATTTATAATTTGGGAATAATGATTCTGCGTGTGGACAAAGCAGACCATAAGTGCAAAGTATTTATATGACAAATAACTTAGAACGTTGAGTAGTGGCTCTGAGGACCAGCTGATGATGGATATGAACTAGCCAGTGGCAGATTGTGGCCCGCATTGACTCTGCCCGTCCGTAGTGATCCAGATGCTACCGTAGCCCTTAGACACACGGATGAAGGGTCCACCAGGAAAAGCTCCTTTCATAGCCCACTCACTGGAAGTATTTCTTCAGAATTATTTTTATGGTTGAGGGCACACCCCAGCACTTTACCTGCTGCCAAGGCCCTGTTTTGAGGGAAGCAGTGATAAATTGCACTTGGTTCCTGCAAGTCAAGGACACCTTCACCGGCTAAGAACCACACCCACCTAAGGGAGTGCTGAGTACCATAAAGATTTGGATCAGACATTATGGATGCTCAAGGGAGAAATTATTTCCTTTTGAAGACCTAGGGAAGGAGACATGCAACAGATGGCAGAGGCAGGGTCATAGGGAGGGCTCGACATGGACGTGACAGATGAGTTAGTTGACTGCGAAGTGGAGCAGGAATAAGACCGGAAGCCATGAATGCTGGAAACGCAGGTAATTGTCTTGTGGGAGGATAGCAGAGTGAATGGCACGGGACCCATCCCGGAGACTGGTTATGATCAGAGGAGTTTCTCATTTCTTTGGGTTGGAATGTGTGGTGTCCATTTTCTTTATGGATGGCCGAGGAGGGAGGAGTGTAGAGCGTATTCTCATCAGGTAAGCACTGCTTTTCAATACAGGACAAAGATGGACCCCAGAGCTGGTGAAGGAGCCCCAGCTGCATTCTCTGCCTTAAGTAGCCTTCAGCAAAGTCACTTCCCCTTTCTACAGCTCATTGGCTGTAGGGATAACATTGTTCTAATATGAAATCAAAGTGTCTTTATAAACAAATGTTTTCTCCAGATGCACATTTTTGGGGGTGTGTATAATTTTTATTCAAGAGTGAACAACTTTAGAATTGGCATCAGGGGCACCTGGGTGGCTCAGTCCGTTGAGCATTCCACTCTTGATCTCGGCTCAGGTCATGATCTCGGGGTCGTGAGATTAAACCCCACTCAAGATTCTGTCTCCCAAAAAAACAAAAAGGGGTGCCTGGGTGGTGCAGTTGGTTAGGCATCCAACTTGATTTCAGCTCAAGTCCTGTTCTCAGGGTCATGAGATTGAGCCCCACATCGGCTCTGTGCTCAGCATGGAGTCTGCTTAAGACTCTCTCCCCCTCTCCTTCTGCCCCTCCCAGTCCACACGAGAGCACACATGCTATCTTTCTCTCTCTAAAATAAATAAATCTCATATAAATAAAATAAATAATATAAATAAATAAATCTGCGCCTGGGTGGCTCAGCCGTTAAGTGTCCGCCTTCGCTCAGGTCATGATCCCAGGGTCCTGGGATCGAGCCCCGCATCGGGCTCCCTGCTCATCGGGGAGGCCTGCTTCTCCCTCTCTCACTCCCCCTGCTTGTGTTCCCTCTTTTGCTGTCTCTCTCTGTCAAATAAATAAAATCTTAAAAATAAATAAAATAAAAACAAAATAAATAAATCTTTAAAAAAGATTCTCTCTCTCCCTCTCTCTTTGTCCTTCCACCCCCACTCGAGCTCTCTCTCTAAAAAAAAACAGAAGAATTGGCATCAACCATATAAACACTGATGGTCCAATGGGACCATCTTAAAGGTGTTTTACTGACCACTTTGCAAACTGTTTATTTCGTGTTAGGGAGGTTTCAGTTCATAGCTGGGGTGCTTTTTTCTGTTTTTATTTCAAATATGGGATTGTCTTCTATTTCCCCCAGGGAGTATATTACCAAATTGGAGATGTTGTTTCTGTGATTGATGAACAAGATGGAAAGCCCTACTACGCTCAGATCAGGGGCTTCATCCAGGACCAGTATTGTGAGAAAAGCGCTGCCCTGACGTGGCTCATTCCTACCCTCTCGAGCCCCAGGGACCAGTTTGATCCTGCATCCTACATCATCGGTGAGTTTGACAAGCGGTACAGGTTCTTGAACTCAGGTAATTCTCCGTTACTACATAAAAGAAGGTGTTAGTCTGCTCAGGCTGCCGTAACCACATACCACGGGCTGAGTGGCATAAACACAAAACCTATTTCTCATAGTTCTGGAGGCGGGAAGTTGAAGATCAAGGTGCTGTCAGGGTCACTTTCTGATGAGAGCACTCTTCCTGGCTTGTAGGCGGCCACCTTCTCGCTGCGTCCTCACGTGGCCTTTTCCTCTGTGTGTGCACATTCCTAGCATCTTTTCCTCTCCCTAGAAGAACATCAGTCCTATCAAATTAGGGCTCCAGCCTATGACCTCATTTAACCGGAATTACCTCCCTAAAGGCCCCATCTCTAAATACCATCACATTGGGGCTTAGGGCCTCAACATACAGAGTGGGGGGAATATAATTCAGTCCATAACAAAGAGACATAAGCATTATTAAATATTAAAAAGTAAAGAGCTTTATAGAAAATAGGAAAGACATTTTATACAGTTGGGGTTTGAGTGCTTTCAGTTATTTTGAGTTAGGGCAGTATATACCTACTAAAAAGTGATGTGGATAAGATTTTTCTGAGGGACCCAGGGTTAAACTCTATTAAAAGAATTTATTGATCAGACATTAGGCTTATTTAGGCATATTTACTTATAAAAATCTAGTTAAAACTAATTTCAAAAGGAACTGTCCCCGTTATTCCTAGAATCTTACAAATTTTCATTATGTGTCCCTCTACATGTCACACACCTCATCCTAGACCTTTTATAACATATCGTCATGTACAGTTGAAATGGCAGCCACTGTGCTCTCACTCATTTCAAGGCTACAGAAGTGGTATAAATATTTCTTGATGTAGACTCACAGGAAGAAGTTGCTGAGTCATACAATTTTAAAAGTGTCCAGAGTTTGGAAGTCACCCCATATTTTCAACCTTTCTGCAATGAGCATGCGTTACTTTTGCATACAAAAGTTTTGTTTTGTTTTGTTTTTCCAGAGGGAACTCGGGCAAATAACATACTGCTGCTATTCTCACCTATGTGTGAAGTTTGATATATGATCAGTTTTAGTCTTCTGCTTGTAGGTACATAGAAGAGTGGATTTTTATCTACGTGACCTATAGGACAGGATTCTCGGCAGAGGCGGTGATGTGAAGAATCACTTCTGAGGCTCCTCTCCCACCCCCTCCTCCTAATCCTCGGACACTGGAGCGGGGAGCACAACATAGGGGTTCAGAGCACATACTCTGGAGCCAGACGATCTGGGTTCGTAGCCCAGCACTTAAGACTAGCCGTGTGGCTCTGGACAAGTTCCTTAATTTCTCTTGTCTCGTTTTCCTCACACAAAAACCAGGAAGAAGAATAGTGGCTTCCTCAGAGCACAGTTTCGAGGATTCAAAGTATCGGTGTATATACAGTACTTAGAGCAGTGTGGGCATATAATAAGCACTGTATAGTACTAATATTATTTTTAGAATCCTTTCTATATTGAATCACTGTTTGGGGGAGTTAAACAGCTAAAGTAGAAGAAAATGATGGAGAGGGACTTCAGAATAATACAGCTATCGAGGACTAATGGCAGGGCACCACCAGAGTGGTTTCTCCTAGCATCTAGGCATTTTAATCTTTTATGAAAATGATATATATGTTCAAAAATGTGTTTGATCTTTCCGTCAACTGCCTTTTAGGACCAGAGGAGGATCTTCCAAGGAAAATGGAATACTTGGAATTTGTGTGTCATGCACCTTCTGAATATTTCAAGTCACGTTCTTCGCCATTTCCCACAGTTCCGACCAGACCAGAGAAGGGGTACATATGGACTCATGTTGGACCTACTCCTGCAATCACTATTAAGGAAACAGTTGCCAACCATTTGTAGTTTAGAAAGTGAAACTTATTTCCAGTCATCTTGTATTCATGCTTCTCTAAGACATGCCGCGTGTTTCTTTCATGAAATTCTTAGATGGGAAGATGACTAGAAATTTTTCCCTAACTACCCAGTAATCATTAGCTTGTTTATTACTAGTCACTTGGAAATTTAAAAGGGATAGCAAGGAATTAAATATATTCTATATATGTATCTTCCCAGGCAAAGGCTGCAATTCCCAAGGAGACCAGTAGGAACAGGTAGTATCTATTTTTTTCTTCGTGATTTGTTTCTAGAAACTCATTACAATCAATGGATTGTATTTTTCTGCTAGAACAAAACATTAATTAAGGTTTGGATTTCTGACCACGGACTTAATCAAATAAAATGTAGCTATGACCAACTGTGTCTATCACAAAGTTACACAAGGTTTATTTCTTCATCTAGAAAATGCTAGATAGACTGTTTAACCTTAAGGAAAGTGATTGGTGGATGATTCTATTAGCCTGAGCTTTTTCAAACTTCATTCTGTAGCAAACAGATTCAGAATTATTTTGTTGATCGTCATTGTTTTCATCTCCCTTCTCAGTCAAGGTGAGGCTCCCAATCAAGCCATAAAATTTTACAGTGCAGACAGCTTCATGAAGAGCACACAGGAATCACGTCATGTTCAGGCATCCCCCTTGGCAGTTTCTTGACTACCATTAAAACAACCACTGGGCAGTCATAAAAATGACTTATAGTTCATATGCGTTAATATCTAAAAAACAGTTCTACTTAAACAATCTGCTGTAGACTCATACTAACAGGCCTAAAATAAAGTCTTAGACACCCTGAATTGTCAGAATTCAGGTGTAGGTTCTACTCAAGTGCAGGTCAGCTAAGGGAGGGAACAACAATGTGGAAATGGGAAGACGTGGGGATTGCACACACGCACCTCTTCTACCCTGACAACCAGCGTTTTTCAACCCCAGGAAAATTTGTCAAATCTAATTTAATCATAATGATTTTGAGTTGTAGCAGTTTTAACTGTTAACATTTTTCTGCACAGCTATGGTTTGTATGTTAGAAGGAAGCAACTGTAGATAGCTCTGTGTTCAGAGTTCTCTCCACAAATGTTACTGTAAAGTTGATTGTAAATACCATTGTAAATAGCTAAGTGCCAATATTCAAACTTTTGGATTAAAATGTGTTTTTTACATTGTATTTACTTTGGGTTTATTTCATTTAAACAATTAAATGTGGGGCTTTCTACCTAAAAATGGTATAAACAGAAAACACCAGGGTTCTCATAATTTGGAGCAATAGATTGATCAATATATAATTGATTTTAGGAAAATTTCAAAGAGTGGTCAATTGCTAAAAGAAATAACGTATGATACTTATTTAAAATGAGGATACATTGGGGCGCCTGGGTGGCTCAGTCGTTAAGCGGCTGCCTTCGGCTAGGGTCATGATCCCAGGGTCCTGGGATCGAGCCCCGCTTCGGGCTCCCTGCTCAGCGGGAAGCCTGCTTCTCCCTCTCCCACTCCCCCTGCTTGTGTTCCCTCTCT